GTCCCTCCCCCCCTCCCCGGCCCAGCCTGTTCCGATGCTTAACAACGCTCTCTGTGACGAACTTTTTCCTAATATCCATCCTAAACCTACCCTGGTGTAACTTGAGGCCATTTCCTCTTGTCCTATCACTTGTTACTAGCGAGAAGAGGTCAACCCCCACCTCTCTACAACCTCCTTTCAGGTAATTGTGGAGAGCAATAATGTCTCCCCACAGCCTCCATTTCTGCAGGCTAAATAACCCTAATTCCCTGAGCCGCTCCTCATAAGACTTGATCTCCAGACCCCTCACCAGTTTTGTTGCCCTTACTCTGGACACGCTCCAGTACCTCTATGTCTTTCTTGTAGTGAGGAGCCTAAAATGGAACAAGCTGTTTGAGGTGGGACCTCACGAGTGCCCAGTACAGGGTAACGATCACTTCCCTGATTCTGCTCACCACACTATTCCTGATACAGGCCAGGATGCTGTTGGCCTTCTTGGCCACCCGGGCACATTACTGGCTCATATTGAGCTGGCTGTCAACCGACACCCCCAGGTCCTTCTCCACCAGGCAGCTCTCCAACCATTCTTCCCCAAGCCTGTAGTGCTGCATGGGGTTGTTGTGACCCAAGTGCAGGACCCGGCACTTGGCCTTGTTGAAGTTCATGTAGTTGGCCGCAGGCCATAAATCCAACCTGTCCAGATCCCTTTGTAGAGCCATCCTACCCTCCAGCAGATCAATACTCCTGCCTAACTTAGTGTCATCTGCAGATTTATTGAGGGGGCACTCAATCCCCTCGTCCAGGTCGTTGATGAAGATATTAAAGAGAACTGGCCCCATTACCAAGCCCTGTGGAACACGACTTGTGACTGGCCACCAACTGCATAATAAATAAATAATAACGCAGATGTACTTGATTTGGCTTCTCCCATCTCCTTGATTTGGCTTCTCCCATCTCTTTACATAGAAGTGATAACTTGTGTGTTATGTTGTATCAACACTGAGCTGCTTACCTCCCTAATGTCAAGGCTGTCATCTGCTGCCACTGCATGGCAAATCCCGAGCAACGTGACTGGTGGGAAAACTTTGTGTTTTCTGATTACTATCTGAAGTCTTCCTGCTGGCGTGGCCCCGGGGAGGCCTGTGAGCTTTGCTTCCTCAGCTGAAAATCACCCCACGCTCCCCAAACACGATTTTCCTCCTTTATTTTTTGTATCCACTTCAGTTTTCACGTGGTAGGAGAAGAGGAAACGTTTTCCTCAGTTTGAATGGAGATTTTCATCAGGGCCTTGGAGTCATTTTGTCTCCTCTCTGAGTTGGGCTGTGGAGTTGAGGAGAACCTTGCCAGGCAGTGGGGTGAGGGGAGAGTCACAAACACAGGGGATGGTGGTTGGGTGCCAGGTTCTTCCTCCTGCTGCTGGTAGGACAGGGGTAAAAGGCCTCAGGTGGTCACCAAACCCTTCAGGGTAACCCAGGTTGTGCAGAAGTGCTTCTCTGCTTAGCCTCTGTCAGGGTTTACAGCTGGGAAGTACGAAGAGACTGTTTTAAAACCTAAACTCATTTGTTTAACACTGTTATTGAAGATTTGAGTCCATTTTTCTAACTGTTTTTTCTGCTTTCCCCCCAGTGCATAGTGAGGGGTGGTTACATTTATGGTTTTTACTGCTTGCAAGTGATCAAAATGGGTGTAATTCTGTTCATAAGGTCTACTATCTGCTTGCCTTTTCCCTCCCATTCTGCTTCCTCTTCTCTTCCTGCCCTTGTCACTATAATCAGAATGAATATTTTGTTCAATAAAACCCTTTAATAACTAAATATGAAACAAAATCTGAAGCTGGCTAATTTATGCTCTGTATTCTGGGGAGAAATGGGCTTCAGAGAACATGCAGATCAGATGAGTTGCTGTTACTTGTGGTCTTAGCAGATGCCTGTGAACTCTATGCAAGTCTGAAGACATTTGCCGGATACCAACTGCTATGATTTTTTCCCAATTTACAAGCATCCAGGATTTTCCACAACTGTTGAAAGAGGGGAGGTTTAAATGCATGACCTGAAATAGAGTTCGAAATAGTTGTTAATCTGCATTAATACGGTATTCCTATAATCAAACACATGTGGGGTGGTTTTGTTTTGTTTTGTTTTTTTTTATTAAATTGCTAATAATATTAAATTGACATTGGAAACGGAATCATGCTACAGATATTTCCCATACTGAGCCTGTCTTGTATTACACTGTTTGAAGGAACAATGTATTTTACCATTAAAAAAAAAATAATTAAATCACACTGCCTTCTTGCAGATGCCATCCCACCGAGCTATTACAGCCTTTACTTCCGAATCGTCAGATTTGATGTCTCGGCGATGGAGAAGAACGCCTCCAACTTGGTGAAGGCCGAGTTCAGGGTCTTCCGCTTGCAGAACTCGAAGGCACGGGTCTCAGAGCAGCGGATAGAGCTGTACCAGGTATGGTGGCACCTCGCACAAATCCACTCCCTGTCTTTCTGCAGCAAACCCACCTTGTACCTGTCTAGCAGGTCGAACAAACCACAGGGAGAAGCAGTCGAGTCCCATCTTTCCAGAGTAGACTCATATTTCCTGTGCCTTTCTTAGAAAGGACTATTCAAAATCATATGGAGCTGAAATGTGGAAACTTTTTCTACCAATTGTGCCTCAGGACTCCAGAGTTTCAGCATATAATAATGAGTGACAGAACATGACATCAAACAAGTCGTCTCCAGGATCTCTGTCTCACAACACCTTCCCTGTACTGTAGTTTACATAGAAGTCAAATTTCTCTCTCTGGCATGTGTTCAGGAGTAGCCTGTTAACCATTCCTCACAGAAATAGCATTGTTAATGATTGAGTTTCATAGCTTAGCAGTTTCAGTATACTGTATAGTATCCCAGGGGTTGAGGCAAGGAACTGGACAATTCCGTGTTTGAGGAGTGAAGAAAAAAATGACCCCATGACTCTCTCACTCCCGAGTGTTGGTAAGATTGATGTCATTTAATCTTTAAAGACTTCAAAGCCATTGAAGTAACTTACATCGAGTCTGTGCGTTTGTGCAAATATTGTCTAGAGCATATCTCATCTAAAGCATAGTTGACTTTGCCGAGAAACCCAGCAACCAACAGCCGCTCAGCTCCCAGCAGTTTTATACTGAGTAAAACTCATGGTTGTTCCAGCAACCCGGGACTTGTTCTGCTGAAAACCCTGCCAGATAGGATACCACCTTGTAAAAGTGTATTGAGCCCTTCTTTGGCTCTGTTCTTGCTGCCCTCATTAGCTATGCCTGAGTGCTGCCCTGGGTTTGCAGCGCTGTAGAGTGCGGTTCAGATCCAGTGGGTGCAAATTTGAGTTAGTCTTCTCCCTCACTTTCAATGTTCACCTTTTCCTGCCTGGTCCGGTCAAGTGCAAGCCAAACTTTGGGCGGAGAGAAGGGAATTTGGGTTCACACGCTTGCTGAAGTGACAGCATAAGCCAACCTTAGAAGCTGATGGCAGGAAAAGGCACACTGGACTGTTTAGACGTTATTTAAATGTAAGAGAAGTGTGATTTGTAGTTGAATGTGGTTCAGGTCCACAGATTGGTCACTGGGTGCTTGGCTTCATGACTGCAGCCTGGCTGCTTTCCTTCCCAGGGACAGGCTGGCAGAAGAGTCGAGTAAATAAAGTGTCATTTGTTAAAAGAGAAAGCTGGGAATCTTTAATGAGAGTCGCTGGTGTTGTCTATGTGTAACAGCCGCAAGAGAGAGTTACACTACATGTCCCTGTGATGCTGCCACACCAGCCTGTTGAAACGATTGTATGTTCTGGCTTGACCTCACTGTTCAGACATCCTAAAAGGAGTTGATGGCATCTCTGGGCTTTCTGTTGTTCTACTTTTGAGAGCTGTTAGTCAGCCACCTGAAAGGAGTACAGCTGCGGTTGCCTGAGCTCAGTTCATTGCCTTTCCGTTTTTGAGGAACGTGGGACACAAAGGGTTCAGTCAGCAGAGGTAAGGGAGAAAGGGCCTTTGCTTGGCTGGGATTTCGCCTTGTGATGAGAAACAGCTGGAGCTTATTTGAGAGAGCCTGACTCCAGCAAGCCTGTGCCCATGGAAATGACTGACACCTGCATCCAGGGCAGGTACTTGGGTCGTTTAGATAAATATATAGCTGGTGAGGAAAGCAGTTTCTTTTTTAGGCTGGGAGGGGCATATTGAGTGAAGTGTTAGGTGAGTAATGAGCGCAGGTTATGGTAGGATTAGGTCTTTTCTGCACCAAGTAACAGGCAAGCCAAAGGCAGCAAGCTCTGAGTGTGTGCTTGTGCCAGGCTGTTTTAGGCATGTTGCTTTGCTCCTTTGCCTGTAGAGAGGCAAGCTGTCTCTGGAGCATTTCCCTTGCAGAGCACCTATTAAAATGACAACAGCTGCTTGGTAGTTCCTCTCTCTGCTTTACTTCTTACAAGTTCCTGTAGCCGCCTTCTGCTGATTGTTTTTTCCTCCCTTTGGTCATATTTCTATCTTGCAATCTTGTATGCAGCTCTCCCCAGATCCTTGTATGGAGGTATTATCTTAGCTCTGTGGTGGCCAGTCTGAACTGCATGGCGTCCTTGCCAGCAGCTCTCCTGGGGGATCTTCAGGGTCCCCAGATACTGCTGCATCTAATCTCCGTCACAAGGTGTGAGGTTAGCGTGCAGTGTCTAACAGGAAAAGCAAGAACGGGGAGAAATTGAAGAGGAGGGACCCATGATCCTTATGGGTCCCTTCCAACCTGAGATACTCTGTGATGTATTGTAGGACAGTGCTATAGAAAGCATCCTAAAACTTAGTATATGAATTCTAGAGACTAGAAATAAGAAAATCTAAGGAGCGGAAGGTGAGAAAGGAGGCATTGGTGCCCCAGTGATGCTAGAGGAGCTTGACGGCTGCATAATGATAGATTGAAAGTGCAGATGGAGGTGTATAGCAGCGAAGGAAGGTACAAATGTGGGAGGTAAGAGTGGAGAATGAGGAAGATGCTCATTTCTGTGGAAATGGGAGGGGCAAATGTGTTCTGTAAGGGCTGAAGACTTACTCAGGTATCTTTGCTTCCAGCATGAAAAGCCATGCATGGAGAGCGAGCCTTACAGAGGAGGTTGCTGGTGGAGTTGGCATGTGGAGCTGCTGTTCCTCCTCCGCACATAAGCCCTCCTTCCTGTCGTGTGAGATACGTGCTGGGCTTGCCAGGGCTGTTGTGCCCAGGAGGAATAATGTGGTTTTTCATCTTGCATAAGCAGCGTTTAATTATTAGGGTTGTTTTTTTTCTTCCCTCCTACCAAGTTTCGGGTTGCCTAGTGTTTTGCTTTGTTGAGGAGATCTTCGTGATGAGGGTTTTTGAAATTCCTTTCATACATGCAGTTTCAGGGAATGTTTCTTCCCATGTCCGCTCATCTTTCTCAGTCAGGCAGTAAGAGAGGGGCAGAAGTCTTCTGGAGAGAGTCAGAGCTCTCTTGTGGTGGTTCACTGGGAAAATGGCTGTCCCTGAACACATGCAAGTTTCCTAACTGCTCTCCAAGAGCTCTCTGATGTAGTCCAGTGGCAATTTACTAGTAATATATGTGCCACTGGTGCAGAAGGGACAGCATTACTCTGAAGGACTATTTTAGGAACAGCAAGAGACAGATGTGCAGGGTAAAAGGAAAAAAAAAAAAAAAGGCAAGAAGAATATAAATATTTTGTTTCTCCTCCTGATTCTTTCTTTGTGTGGTCCTCTGACCTTACAGATCTACCCCTTAAAATGAAAAAAGAAATGCAAGACTGCACCTTTTCAGCTTAGCTTTCCTGGGGCTATACTTGGCTCCCTTTTCTAAACCACATCAGAAAAGGACTTTGTGTTTTCCTGCAGCCCTTGTTTGCTCTGACTCCGGGACGGCAGTCTGGAGCTGCTTGGCGTGGCGAGCCAGGGCCGTGGCCTCTTGCTCCCACCCCCTGCCGCAGCAGCAGCAGGACTCTGTTCCCACCTCGGAGGCAGGGCTGGAGCAGAGAGCACCCGGTTGTATTTATGCTGGGAGCGAGTGGTTGTGGATGTGTTTGCCAGGTCTGCCGCCTCCACCCCGGGTTTCTCTGGGCAGTAGGTCCAGGAGCTTAATTCTCATGCAGGTGCCCGGGATGCGGCCATGAAGCCAGTGGGCAAGTGGTAATCCCCAAGAGCAGAAGCAGTTTCTTTAATGTCTGTTTTCACCCAGAATACTTCTCTTGGTATTTAAGGATTAGTCAGCCACATCCGCGTGTTCCTGCGCAGATGGGAAGCACAGTGCACATATTAAGCAGTCTTTGGATGGAAAATAATAAAACTCAGAAGTAGGAATTAAGTTTCTTTTATAAGGCTGTTGTGAAAGCTTCTGTCTCTTCTTGGCTCTGGTTAAGTGAAGCCACTGAGAATTAAATTCTTTAAAGGCACTGCCTTTTCTGTTGTTTCTTCTGCTTGAAAGTGAGGGTTAATCTACTGGTGGTGCTGCTGCTCATCAGCACATTGGAGAGAGGGAAGGAAGAAGGAAGGAAGGAAGGAAGCAGGCAGTGTGATCTCAAACGCAGCAAGCGCTGTCCCGCACTTCTCCCGCATTTACTCGATGCGCTTCTCAGCATGCACCGAGATTTCAGAAAATATTAAGAGGATAAAGTACTTTTGGGGAAGGGAGGAGGAATAATATTAAATAAACAAGGTTTAGCATCCTCCAGTGGCCCTTGCTATGTTTTTAAAGATTTATGCCAAATGCAGGCTTTATTGGAATTTGATCAGATAAAGCTCAGTTGTTATGGGAATGTCTTTGTTCATCAGTTTTCTTGCCTGCTTTGAAGACTTCATCACATCTTTCTTTTATTAAGGTGCTTCTGTATTTATGAATAAAGTCCCTACACCCTTCAAAAAACAAGCTCGTATTTTATGAATGAGCATTCCAAAAAATAAATAGGCACCACCGCAAAGCTGGACGAGTGCAAACCCTCGCAGGGCAAAAAGCCGTTGTTCGGAGAGTGTTGTGGTATTGTTTTTAAGGTATTTTTATTATACACAGACGGTCAAACAATAACAAGTAATAATTACTTCCTATGGAAGCAATGCCATGTTTTGTTAACACATCGTAAAGTATCCTGAAAAACGCAGCCGAAGTGCTGTTTTTTATCGTCGTTATTATCCATGGCTGCTGTGGGTGGGGGTACCTGAGAGGCTGCGGATGTGGGGGGACGTACCACGGGATGTAACAGAGTACAGGGTTGGAGCAAATGAATGGCACCAGGTTAAAGCCCGGGGGTGGCATCAGATTGCGATGAAGAATTGGAGGTAAGCAGGAGCAGACCTTTGGTCTTTCCATGTTGGCAGGGCCCAATCCATGCCAAGGAGATTGCTCGGAGTCTAGGAAGAACCATCTGCCCTCCAGACAGTGGTAACCCCCGTGTCTTTAAGGGCCTCTCTCCTTGCTTGGAGGTATGAGGAGGAAGATGCT